TCCCCCCAGGGTCTGCCCCCTTCCCGCTGTAGTTTTTCGGGCTCCCTTGCTCTTCTGCGGTACCTTGGCAAAGCAGTTCAAGATGGAGAGCGGGAAGCAGAGCAGAGAACATCCGCTCTCCCATCAGTGACACAGGAGTGCTGTACTCGCAGCGCTTCCTGTGACAGCTGTCACAATTGGAGCTGTACAAAGATAAAGCACAGCATTGTGCTCTATCTTCTGTACTGGAGAGCAGGCGCATAAAGAGAGCATGTCAACTATAAATTATATCACATAGGGGCTTGTTAGTCCCTGTGTGATATCAATAAAGTGGAAAAAAAGTGATAAAAAAAAACACAACATAAATTTTTTTTAAAGTAATTAAAAAAAGGTAAACAAATTAAAAAATACAAAAGTAAATTAAAAAAAAGAAGATTAAAAAAAAAAAAAAAAAAAGGAAAAAAAAAAAAAAAAAAAAAAAAAGAATAAAAAAAAAAAAAAAAAGGTAAAAAAATAATAAACTAAATACAAATGAAAATAAAAACCAACCCCATCTGCATGTGAATAAACGCGTGTGTGTGTGCTCTCACTGCTGCCCTAATTCCACTGTGTGCCATATTGTGGTAGTGGGGTAGCAGCACTCTCTTAACACGCACATTCAAGGGTAAGTTTACTTTCCCAAGTATTTTGGGAAGATGGACTTCCCCGCTCAAATATGGCTACCCCCTCATCCCCACATACTTACCTATTTGTGTCTGTCCTTCCCCCTCCACCAGTATGGGTGTACTACCCGCGCTATGGATTTTGAATTTCACAAGAAATTGCGAGCACTCATTGGTCACTGCAGTCAGTTGACCTCGCTTCTTTGCACGGTTTTGGTTAAAATTATTTTTTGTATCAGGACAAGTATAATCATGGAGTGAGTTACAGTTCTTCATAATTATAATTATACCCTAAAATCATTATTCTGTATTGTTCTAAAAATATCTATAATTGGTATCTTTAAGTACCTGAGGGAAAGTAACTGTACTTAATCTTGAAAAAATGGTATTGGGACATCCCTACACTCCACCAAACATTTAACAGGTTGGTGGCCTTTACTACATGACCTTCACTTACCTTAACAATGAGCTCCTTGGGGGGTGCCCAAGCAGGCACTATTTTGCCATGCATTCTCCATGCTCCATATGGGTTTACCAAATGACGTTCAAAAACCACATACTCCAACACATCTCGTGGCTTATCCTTCCCACATTCAACCCGGCCAAATCGATCATAGATGATTAGAGTCTGTAATCACAAATTTTAACAGCAGAGTGTAAGCAGAGGTACACTAAGTGGAGCATTATGGATGATTATGTAATGGATACCGAGCTCCATCCCACTCCGAGTGCTCCACCCCAGCCATCTTGCTGCCCTCACTCAACCCAGAATCCTAATGACACCTTCCGGTGGCGGCCATTTTAAAAGGCACTCAAGTCATATACCGGAGGACTTATGACATAACCGCCATACTGAACCAGGTACAGCCAAAACACTTATCAGCAAGACATCTCAGGCTACAGTGTACCTTACTACTTCCGGACAACGTTACCCTTCTCAGATGCAACATCCTGAAAACATCCACTCTGCTCCCACTTCGAGGGGGGAGATGGTCCTGCTCCTCATGACGTCACAACTGTTTTGAAGTGATGAAGATGGAAGCTACACATCTGCCAACTGTCAGCGAGGTGCCTCTGGATAACCCTGACCTAACTATCTATGTTGATGGCTCGAGGTATGCTGATCATACAGGACAGTACCACACGGGGTATGCTGTTACTACTGAGGACACGGTCCTCCAGGCCTCGGCATTGCCTCCTTCCAGGTCTGCACAGGAGGCAGAACTCCAAGCCTTAATTGCGGCATGTAAGTTGGCAGAAGGAAAAAGAGTCAATATTTATATACAGATTCAAGGTATGACCTTGGTGTTGCCTGCGATTTCGGGGTCATCTGGAAGAACAGGGTTTTTTACAACGGCAGGTACACCTGTGAAACACAGTGTAGCCATCAGGGACCTGATGGACGCCCTGCTCCTCCCCACACAAGTTGCTATACTTAAAAGGGAGGGCACACGGAAGACTGAATTCCCAAGAAGCACGAGGCAACCAAATGGCGGGCACTGCTGCAAAACAGGCCGCAAACGGGATATTAGAAGTCGTCAGCAGAGTGAATGTACCCATTCTGGACATCTCCAAATCTTAACAGAGAAGGCCCCTAATGCATGCCCTGCTCCAGTGTCTAGTGGCAGGAGGAAACGGGAAGCCCCTCCAGCAAGCTTTGATCCTTATGTGTATATAGATATCATTGGAGTCCCAAGGGGGGTTCCTGACGAATTTAAAGCCAGAGACCAAGTAAAAGCCGGTTTTGAGTCCCTGATACCAATTATCACTATCAATAAGAACTAGGGAACGACACTAGGGATGCACTTAAGGGAATAGCAGAACAGTTGGAAGCCACTTCCACATAGTCCCCATTACAATCTGTGTCTCCCCAAAAATAATACCACAAACACTTTAGCTTAGTAAGAGTAGGGACAGAGACCACCTGACTGTGCACACCAACATGTCGGGACCAGAGGTGGATTAGCCCCTCGGATGGCCCCTATGCATGTTAAGAGAAGAGTTTCGGGTTTTGTGTTAGGTGATAGGTTAAGGGATAGGAAAAAATTATTATTTGAAATAGTCATTTTAGGGGGGACTGTAATGGAAGTGGTTAAGTATGATTATGACAAAATGCCTATCTCAATAGATCAATTGTAATATATATGTTAATTTGCTTTTCGCTCTCCCTTGCTCTTGTTTACCTTGCTCAAAACCTTACTCAGAAATTGATGCTCATGCACCCCCTCCCCCTTATATCCGAAGTACGCACTAGAAATAGGAACTAAGATGGCGCCTCCTCTTAAGACAACCCCCAAGACGGAAGTCATAAACATCCTGGAAGGAAGTTATGCATGAATGGATCTAACCAATTATAAGCTAGAATGCTTTTTGCAATGCTACGATTAAACATACAAAACATACACGTGCAGCTGCCTATGAAAGGCTGTTACGCGGAAGAATAAAGCAGAAGTATCTTACTCTGAACAACTGGTCTCAGCGTGGTATGTTCTCAGAGTGTGCACTCTATATTTAAAATCAGGCCAGGCGGCAGATATAAGTACGGAGCCTTGATCCGATCTAAATTTGGAACCAAGTCCAAAACAATTACTCTGTTCATAATATATTATGAACCAACTTAAAAACAGCAGCTAATTATTAAACTACTCCAATCACGAACAAATACGATTTTGGTAATCACCATAAAATCCTTTGCTTGGAGCTGTTTAACCCTTTTCGCTGCCAAGCCCTCCGAAACACTTTTAACCTCAGCTGGCCAAACCATTTTTGCAATTTTTCCCATTGTTTTGATTTTCCACTGCTGCATTGCGAGTGTTTGTAAAAGACCCCCCAAACTATATATTTTATGCTACTAATTTTGTAAGTTCTGCGATAATTGCACAAATGTTCGTAAAATCAATATTAAATTGATAAAAATACACAATTACATTGATAAAAGCACACTAAAATCAGTATCAGTGCACAACCCACCCCACAAAAAAAACACCACTTTTCCGACTAAATCTAAAAGATAAAACTGTATTGAGTTAATAACAAATATTTGTAAATTTTAAATTGTGCCTTTTTGTGAAACAGTAAAAAAAATGAAGCAACGCAAAACTGTAAATAAGCGACTTATGTTAAAACTCGTTTGTGCATTGTGTTTGTGTGTATTGTGATAAAATGATACAGGCGTACATTTAATGTACAGGAAGTAATGTCAAGCGCTTCCTGTTCATTCATAACTGGTGACACATAGTACTATGTGTCCCCAGTTGTTTACAAACATTGGAGTGATAACTGATTACTCCAGTGTTTGTGCTGCACACAGAGGATCAGCAAATATCACAGATATTTACGAATCCTCCGCTTGGTCATCCTGAGCTGCTCGGACATGCACAGATGAAAGAGCCGCTGAGGATCCTGATCTCGGCTCTCCTCATTGCTCGGCCATCCTCATCAGCGGCTCCTGCCTCCGCCTGCCATTTCTCCTCAGATCCCTGCTGCCTCAGCCAATACACGTGGGGGACAGCAGGGTGGATCAGAGGAGAAACAGATCCCAGCATGGAGCAGCTCCAGGCGGAGAGGAGAGGCTGCAGATGCCAGTGGCAGTGGTGCGGACAGGGGTGGGAGGGTTTCACCTGATTTTTTTTAATACCCGATGATGATAGCTATTATTTTACAGGGGACTGTCAGGAGAACTGTTCCTCTGAAGCGACCATGAGCTTATAGCAGAACAGTAAAAGCCACCGACGTAAAGGCTTACTGACGTGGCCAGCTGCAATCGGTTTTGTTCTGCTGTAAGCCTTACGTAGTTGGCAGCGAAAAGTTTAAGGGACAAAGGAATTCTTACACTTTTGGGTTATACTGTTGCCTAAAAGGAAAAATGGAACCTGGCAACAAAAAAGCCAGTAAAGGATAACACTGCCCACAACCATCATGCCTAACTTTTGTAGCAAAGCAGCACAGAGCGCATGAAAAAAGCACTGAGGAAGAACCCGTGCTCCTCGACTGCAGGAAAAGTATTTTACGTTGAGTGCAAAAACCTGAGTACAAAAATCCTCTACTTTTCACATCCATTGAGGGAATTCTTTTTTTTTTTAATTTGTTTATTAAAACATATAAATTAACACAAAGAATATAAAATGGTCAGAATCAACAGTGTCCAACAGCAGACAGTCACAAATTATAAAAGTACATAGACATGCACAATAAAGGACCATTGCGTTGCATAGAAAAATACCCAAGAAAAAATTGTACAAGACTAATCGGGATCCTAAGATCACTGAGTAATCAAGTAACATTACATCCACAGTAAGAGGCATGGGAGCTATGCTCCGTAAACTTTACCAAATAACTATAAAAAACAGCCATAACCAATGAAAAAAATAAAAATGTAGAAACATTTCACCTGGGCCCCCTTTCCCCACCTTCTAGATCAGTTGTCCAATATCATATCGCTACGCCAGAGGAATGATCAAGTGGATCGCCATAGATTTTCTATATCGCTTGATGGAGGAAGAGACCATGTGCAGAAGAAAAACTGCCGGGTCATCTGGTAAGGGGGTGAGTAGCAGCTGATTCATCACAGAGCGTACTGATTCCCAAAAGGGTCGCAGAACCGAGCACTTCCAAAAAAACATGTATCATTGTTCCTGTGGCCACTCCACACCTCCAACAGACATCCGGGAGAGATCTATCAATGTGATGTAGGACATATGGGACCCTGTACCAGCGCGTTAAGATTTTGTAACCCTGTTCCTGGTACCTATTTGCCATGGAGGATCTGTGTGCCAAAGAGAAGGCCATGGTGCGCTGCTGCTCCGAAAAGGCAAAACGAGGCCGACAAAAGCCTATACTAAAGCAACAGCGATTGTCGAATAGAATCGCCCACATGACAGATTGATTCAAACATTGTAAGGCATCGTGACAGCTCCCGCACCCCGGGAACCGACAACACCAGTCTACCAGACGATTGAGGTGGTTGGCTCTATAATACCGCTGGAGATCCGGGAGACAGACGCCCCCATATTGCTTGGGGAGGGTTAGGAAACGGTACGCCAAGCGAGGGTGCTTACCTGCCCACACAAAGCTAAGAAATTGCCGTCGTACCATAGAGAAGAAGTGGGATGGAAGAGTAATCGGCAGAGCTTGCATCAGGTAAAGAAGGCACGGGAGGACAGTCTTCTGCAGGGCAGCACACTGTCCAAAGTAGGTTAAGGTGAGTACACTGGGACAGATCTCCCCTAAGCTTGGACAATAGGGGGATACAATTCTCAGCATAGATTTGTGACAAGTCTGCAGTGATGTGGGTGCCTAAATACGAAATGTAGCAAGGCGCCTGTCGGAAATGATAACTGCCCTGAATCTGTGCTAGCACTGGGGCAGGTAGAGAAGCATTGAGCGCATCAGAAAGTTAGACAGACTACCATAAAGTAAGAGTAACGCTGGAATGGAAGAATGGGGGCAGGAGAGGAAGAAGACCAGGTCATCAGCGTACGCTGCCACCTTGTGCGATCTAGAGGGTAGAGAGATTCCCGTCACGGAGTCGTCAGCCCTAATCGTACAGAGTAAAGGCTCCAATGAGGACAAAAATGAGAGGCGATAATGGGTAGCCCTGCCGAGTGCCGTTCCAGATGGGGAAGTAAT